TCCCTCCCTCCCTATTTAAGTTCTCTGGGTGTTTATAAACACTGACAGCCTCTTTAATAATCCTGGAGACGTTGTTGTTCACACTATGACACTGCAACATCACAGCACAATATCAAGCAGGATGCTGAGGTTTTCCAGGTCCACTTTGGGTTTGGTCTCTGTGATGCTGACCATCTTAACTTTTCAAGCCTGATAGTCTATGTCCAGTTCCGCAACCTATGAAACGTCCAGTTTGTCCAGTGTAACTTCCCCCACGCCCACCCTTCTTCGTTTGGGGAGTCTGTCCTTACTGGAGGGCAGCAGATGTTTTTTCTTGCCCACCACCCAAATCTTATCCCTATACTTTTTATTTTATATAAGATAATCACTGGGTTGGTCAGAAATCTTGGCCCAACAAAAATAACCAGATTTTGGCTTATCGTTCAGCATCCCGAAAAATCAGTTCCGAATGTTAACCCGGCCTCCACATAAAGTGACTATGGGCTTAAGAACCTGGAAGTATGGCAGGCCGGGTGATCCGTAAAAAGTCTTTACCTTTCCTTGCTAGCTGAGACAGAACAAATTATGCAAAGCAATAGATAAATGTGCATGCTTCAATGAGAATGAAAATAGCTTAAGAGTTTTAGGATTACTGCATTCAACTGCTTGCAGTTGTTTCCTTTCAATACTTTCTCCACTAAATACCCAGTTCTAAGCACAGACCTTTCCTGCTCCCATCACTGGAACGTCTCCTAATGGGAGCTGTACCAAAGGACTAAAGGGGAAGCTTTCGTGCTTGGTTTTTATCCCACGGGGGACCTGAGAGGCCCGTGCCATCAATGCCCCCTTTTGCGGGGGGGAAATCAAGGTTTCAGGAACACGGAGTGCTCAAAGTCAGTTCAGGTCCTCCAAGGTCAGCAGGATTCCGGACAACTCCCCTGGTGGCCTCTGGCAATGGCAAGACCACAGACAGAGCCCTCAATGGCCCGGGGGGGGGGGACTAGCAGAGCCCCATTTGTCTGTCCAACAGCTTGATGCTCAAGACACACCTCCCCAGAATAAAGCTGGTAAGCTGAGTCTTAAGGGCAGAAAGCATGATTGCATTATCACACCCAACCAAAACTTCCAGAACATTCAGCATACTAACAAGTACCCGGGGTCATGGAGAAACATCTGTACGCTCTTGCAGCTGATGAAGCACCATTTAGAGCGTATTTATAGCAGGAGGAGGAGGGTCAGCAGCCGTTGGACAATTATAGATTTATTCATACATGAACCTGAAATCTTTGCCTGAGAGCAGTGGTGAAGGAGGTGGGCCGGAGACCAGGAGACTGCGAGTTCTAGGCCTCCCTGAGGCGTGAAAGCCGCCCGGGTGACTTTGGGCCAGTCCCTCTCTCCCAGCCCAGCCCACCTCACAGGGCTGTTGTAGTGGGGGAAACAGGAGGAGGGAGGAGGATTAGGCATGTTGACCAAATGTATATTAAAAAGGCAGGTTAAAAATCTAATAATAATGATGAGAATTTTGGTATCGGTTTATCCCAAAGGCGTGGGCAGAATCCAAACCACAGTATCCGGCCTCTTGGATGGTCCTGGGCCAACATCTGGATACAATAACAAGCTGTGTGAAAATCAGAAATCATAGGCTGGTTCTCAGCAAGAGAGATGGAGTCCTTTGTCTGGGAATTAAAGAAGCCTGTCGTGAATCAGGTTATGCTCCCTCCGATGGAGGTCCCAGAGCCATAACCACTATCAGACACAGTGATCCACACACTGGTCACCTCGAGGCTAGGCAACTGCATCGTATTTATGTCTAAGTCTCTCTCTGAGAGGGTGCAGAAGCCACAGCCAGCACAATATGACATGTGCGGTTTGCTTGAAGAGGAAAGACTACCAGGAACACTGAGCATCTGCTTCAAAAGAGCTACAGTCTCTGCCATATGCCCCAAGCAATGTCCAAGGCTTTTGCCCTGTTGCAAAAAGCCTTTGATGGCTTTGGACCTGGGTAGCTAAGGGATCACCTTATCCTTTAAGCTCCTGCCCTTCAATTAAGGACAAGCAGGGTATCACCCTGAAGAAGCCACATGCGCCAGACGCTCACAATGCAGCAGCGCAAAAGAATGCCTTATAACTGTAGATCTCCTCTGGTAGCTTGGCTCATCCAAAGACCACCTTGCTCACCCGGGCTGTTGATGGAGTTTAGGCTGCAGTGTGGTTTAGCTTGAATGGATGCCTCATTGCAGCAGTGTGGGTAATTCAACTAGACTCTAGCCAGCACCTTTAACTGGGGGAATAATGCCTGGGACATCAGATACTTTCATAAACATCCCAACTGCTGAAGGGAAAGATCTACACAGAAGCGAGAATAAGTTTGGCTGAGGAGAAAACCACAATTAGGAAGGGTTTAAGGCAGGAGAACAGGAGGAAGCTACAGGTTCATGGGGGTGGGAGGCAAAAGATATGCAAACGTAACGAAAGGCCTGTTTTGCAGCTTTAGGGGGAACCATCGGAGAAAAGCAGGCTGGCACTCACCTTCAGCCTCTTGAGGAGCCACTGCATAAGGCCCTGCTGAGCAGCATCTGCGCACATCTCTGGCCGAAACTCTGCCATATTCTCAATTATCGCTTTGAAAAGAAGAGGATTAGGAGGGGGAGAGTGGAGAACAGACCATCAGTTTTGAATTTCCAGACTGACACCAGATTTCATAGCCAACAGCCTATCTCAACAGCCTTCCCAACCTGGCAGCACCCTCAGGCTTACTGTGTCCATCATTCCCAAACAGCATGGTCCTCTGGTCAGGAATGATGGTGGCTAAGTCATGCCCTGAGAGTGCCAGGTGGCTGGAGACTGTCTGAGGGTTCCTCTCTCAGATCAAAAGCTCTTGTTCACACCCTTGCCAGATCCTCTTTTTTCCTTTGGAGAATCAACCAGACATTGCCCACAGCTGTATAGAGCCATGGAGATGACTTTGGAGAAGACATCCAGGAGGAGAAAAACAGGTGCTGAAGCAAGCCCAAGATGTGGAAAGTATTAGAAAAAGACTCAGACTAGGGGTCCCCTGACTCCCTGGGGTATAAGAGGGAGGGAAGGGAAAGATTCTGTTTCTATAGCTTATCTCAATAAAGTATATTTCTAGTCTTCTTGTGGAGTTAGTTTCCTGGGCTACCTCTCAGGCCCGACATCAGCACTGCTCTGGAGTCACTCTTAATAAAGCAACCCAGAGTGTGTGATTCCACCCTGGAGGTAGTCTTTCTTGTAATCCTGACTGCAAAGGGGGGGGACCCCTTTCAGCACCCAGTTTCTGAAGAGCTACTCCTCCAAAACTACACAATGGGGTGGCTTTGTGCTAGAGTAATAAGAAGGGCAAAAGGTACTTCAAATCCTAGGCACCAAAGTCACATTTTCAGATCCCCAGCTGATGGGACCTGGCGTCATGGCCTACTTCATTCTCTCTCTTCTTTAAGAGTTAGAGGAACAGAGGCCAAGATGGCAACAGATTCTTCAGAAGGGCCATTGCACTGTGCTGGGATTGGAGGTTGTAAGTGGCTGTCACTTGACTCCAATCCCAAGCTTTGAGGAAGGCATCAAGATAAGGCGAGCTAATGGTCACATGCCTCTCCATTCAGCAAAGGCTGAAAATATGCCATTATGTTGCTAATGTCACTTTGATATGGAACATCACCGTAAAGCAAGGGGCAAAATGTCGCTCAGCCCACCGTTAGCCAAGGACTCTTGCAGAGTCCACAGGTAGTACTCTGAGAGCCAAGGTCCCTTCCCTCATCCTGACAACCATTTGCATTTGGGACGCCAGCTCAGCGCCTGCCATGGTGAGTCACTGCAAATGGGCAAAGCTACTCATGATCAGGTATAAAAGTGCATCGCTGTATCTTAGAAGTGGGCCATACGTAGCCCCCAACACCCCTTTTACAGCCGGAGGGCATCACCAGATCACTTGCTGGTTGATTTTGGAACTGTGTCTATAACATGGAGAAGAAGCCACTTTATGAAACCCCCCAGAACTGCGGTGCCCCAGGCCCACTTCGCCCTCCAATGGGCACGGAACTTACCCAGAGTATTATGAACACCATCTGCCTCTTCCTTAACACTTTCATCCAGACGCTCCAGATTCTGCACCAGCAGCGCTACTACCTGCCCTTCGACCTGGGCCATGGAAGGGGAAGAGAGAAAGGACAGACTCAGAGCAAGCACACTGGAGGAGTGCGGGTCAGCGCAGCACACATAAATCGGCAGACGGCAAGAAATCCAACATAACAGAAATGAAGACTGCTCCATTGAGGGATGCTTGATCAGGGAAACAATCTTTCTGTCAAAGCTCTTCTCTCTGCAGCCTCCATGGCTGTTTTGCCCTTAATTAATTGGACAATTTTTCCAAGTCAGTCACAACAGAAAAACATTTGAAAAATATGAATCTTGTCACAGGTCTGCCGTTCCCTAAATCAGGCCTTGATTGGCTCATCATCTCCTTGAATTCCAAAATGCCAAGCAGAACAGCCCAAAGGGGCGTCAGCTGCCTGCCAGTCCTTGGCATGATTCGACTGCCAGTTATCGCATGGGCAGACTCCCCCCCCTTTCCTGGGAAGCAATGGAGCAAACTCCAAAGGCCGAGCAATCACGCCTAATGAAACCCCCAGGCAAGAAGTGCCCTCTCCGCAGGAGGGGAGGGAAGATGCACACATCAGGTAACCCCTCCCTGCCTTTCATGCACAGCTCTAAGACTGCGGTGGGCCGAGGGCCACGTTATCCGATTAGAGCTGCCTTTCCTTGTTCGGGGTGTGGGCCTGCTGCACGGATGAGCTGGGTCTTCCGAGGCAGTCTGGCACTGATCACAACTGTCCACGTCCGACCTTGGATTGGGAGCAAAGGGCAGTGCCAAAGGGGCAAGCCCATTTCGGAGAGCCAGAGGGTCCGAGGACAAGGCTCCACGCTATCAGCCAATTCACTGGACAAAATGCGGAAACAAAGATCACGCGACAACCAAATCAGGCACGTGAACAAATTAAGTAGGGGAAGCCTCCGCCTCCGCTGAGAGGAATACAAAGAATCTGGTCTGCAGAGCTGGTGGCAATCTTTGCTCAAGAGCATCCTTCAGCAAGCAGTTTATTGACCACCCAGGAAAGGTCAGCTGGACGGCTGCTGGCTGTAGACAGCGATGGCCGGGAACGACATGCTTTGCCGCAGTGTCTGCCAATGGGACAAACGCCACCGGCTTTGGTATCCAGCAGAAATGCCCCCTCCTGGCCCGGCTGGGCTTTCGGAAGGTGATTGGAAAGGGAGGTCCAAAGAGGGAGATGTGGAAGAGCAGAGAAGAAGAGATCCACGCTTATGAGGAAGAGCCGAAGGGGAAGGAAATATCCAGGCTAATCAAAAGGGTCTTTGTGATTGATTGATTCAATAAATAAATAAGGGAGTAAACAGAGCTGGGAGCAGCGGAGGAGAGGCCAGGCCAGCTTGCAAAACTTCATGATGGGAGTCAGACTGTTGACGCATTGGCGCAGCACTGCCCACCGTGGCTGGCAAGGCCTTCCTGCAGCCTCTTTGCCGGACACTTTCAAGCAGGACTATGGCAGGGATTAAACCCGGGCATTTCTGTGTGCAGAGGAAGGGCCCCCACTGAGCTCTCAGCCCTAAAGCTGCTCACAGAAAGGACACAAGGCAGCTCGAAGACTAAGAGGCATCTCCAAGAGGAGAGCGTGGACGAGTTTCAGTGCAGCAGATGCCAGGAAGCCTCCAGAATCCAGCCTGCCGGTCAGCGGACCTGCCACTTCCAGGACGCCACCATTCGCACTGCCCAGTTCCTCAAAAGCACCCTGAAGCCCTGCTGCAGTCACCTTCACCCCCAGGCCTCAAACTGCTGACAGCAGCAGAACCCAACCTGTTTTCCCTTCCAGCATCCAAGCGGAAAGCGCAAAGAACAAGCCTCTGCCCCAGCCCTCTTTTTCATATTGTGAGCACTGGCCTGGCAGTTTCCAGAAACAAAACAAGAAAAAAAAAGCAGCTGCTTTGAGAGGAAGAGGCAAAACTGGCAAGGCTCTCTCTCTTGTTGCATGCAGGAAGGGCCCCTCAGGGTGCGCCAGCAGGCTGAGCCTCAACTCTTGGAAGCAGCAGAGCAGTGTTTCTCAACCCCTCCCACCAACATGGAAGGTCGGGGGGCTCGACC